GGAGGCTGCCATTCCCTCTTAAAAATAGTGTTGGGTAATGAATGATCATTTGTGGAACGCCGGTGCTAACGGCAACGACTTTCTTCCCTCTGACATAACGTTACTGCCGGCTGATTTACACGCCCAAAAGTTGTCCCCAAAATATTTAAAACGAGGGTTTTATTCACGATACGCAGCAGACGGCGGTGACACATGCAAGAGCTCTCGTTGTGCTAATTAGGGGAAATGGCGAATTAGTTGGCCATGAAAAATGCAGGCGCTTCTGTTTTATTATCATCCTCGATTTGACTCGACAACACTTCAGGCTTTTGTAACAGATTTGCAGTTCTATGTCCAGAATCAGCACAATACGGAATTTCTGCACGCCCACGCTTTGCTTTCACAACGCTGAGTTACTGACACACGCATGCTACTATCAATTATGAAACACTCTGCTCCCTGGATAGGCGCGCATTCTGTTCAGTGTGCACCTCAGCATATGTGCGAGTCCTCCTCGGCAGCCCCTCGCAGGTCCCTGGAAGGTGCTGCTGGTGTGGATGTAGGGCTTCGGAGCAGGGATCACGGTGACAGTTTCAGGTAGAGGAGTCTATTAATAGTTTACCTCTCAGCCAAAGCATTTCATCATCTTTGGTGTCTGAGGGCTTCCTGCTTCAAAAAAATGGGGTGAAGTTATGCATCTCAATCCAGCCCTTCATATTTCACGCTGTTGAGGATTATAAATAAAAGGACAGACTCTGACCTGAGCTATTAGTTACCTGAGATCCCGTGGGTGGAGGGTGCTTTGTCTTCTGTCAGCTGCTGGTGTTTTTCCTTCAGAAAGCAACAGGATTACAATCAAAGTCTTTGGCATACAACGTGAGATATATTCCTCCCTGTCTGGAAGTGAAGAGAAGGAAGACGGAACAACAAAGCAAAGCAAAACAAAACAAAACCAGTCATTCACCATCGGCCGGGAGGGAACTTCAAACGGCAACATGCTGGAGGATTCTGACAGTAGGTCAGACTGTGGGTCAGTCTCAGGTAGTGCTCCGCTGTTTGCCGTTTACCTTCTCGTGTTAGTCTCGTGTTATGACCACACAAACGTACCCGGAGTCTCAGGAGAAGAGACGCTCTGACAGGGTGATGAGGAAAACACAGAGTCAGAAAGCTTTCACTCTCTCACCTTCCTCGTGGCACGACAGCTAAGCCTGAGAAGCGCTGTCGATGCTGCTTGTTGTTGGGAAGACCTTTGATCTTGAACAAATAGAGATCCGAATCTTCGAGCCCCAGCCTGGGGCACGGAGAAACGTGGCCATCAAATGGGGTCAGGTTGTGGAGGAAGGCAGTAAAGTTAAAACCTTTACTGCCATCTTTATGGCTTTACTCCTGATGGTGATCGCATCAGGTATGGAAAATGACAGCTTTCTTCCCATTATCAGTGAAATCTCCAGCAAGGAGTGTCAGACGTGCGGAGGATGAAAGTGACGTGTGTCAGTCTGAATCCATCACAGCACACGTGCACCTTTCATCCTGCGTGATCGAACCTGCTCTCAGAAGTTTACACGTCTTCTCGTTTAGCAACATTCAACACAAGCAGCTAATCAGAAAATAATAAAAGAAGTTATTTTTTTCTAGTTCAGACTGTTTCTATCAAATGCAGACTGACAACCCTCTCTAGAAATTAATGATTTTGTTTTTCTGGGACCTCTCATCGCTAACCACCCGAAACCTCACACATTGACTTTCCTCCTCAGATTGCAACTCATCCATTTTTTTAATTGTGTTCATTTTTACCTGGGTCCCACCGGACCCGCAGCAGTGGTGGTCGTTGTCATCCGTCTGCTCTGACAGCAAGAGAGAGAGAGAGAGAGAGAGAGAGAGAGAGAGAGAGAGAGAGAGAGAGAGAGAGAGAGAGAGTGGCACCACGCCACTTTCCACCCCGAGCTGATGTGTCAGGCTTATCACACAGCCGAGCGATCCTGAGGTGACATCCTCCACTGAATCAGTGACATTTCACGGACGGTGTAAATCTATCCATCTTTGTCAAGCGTCCGCCTCGATTTTAGCATTTCCCGAGTTAGCATATTGATCAGTGAGGAACGCATGAGTGAGGACTTCTTGTTTTCTGCTTCTCAGAATGGGCATTGTGAGTCCACCGGACTCCTCTGTCAAAGCCTCCCTCAGCGGGCTTTAATCCCCCTCGTCAGAGTCACCTAAAGCAGGAAGGACCAAAGTCATTCATGACCAAAAGCACACCGACGCCTTTCCTGTTTTAAAAGAAAACTAAGCCTGTAAGTTTACAGCGACAAGAGAGTTGTTGTTATTGGTCTAAGGCCACTTTTGATGGAAGTCCAACCACTATAACACTAAAGCCATACTATTCAACCAAGTACTGCAGAGCTTTCCCAATGTTGTGATTTCTCTCACATGGGAAAACAATCTGATTCTGATTCTGATTCAGAACATTTTTCACATTTTTAAATCATTTTCCTCAGCCAGTATGTGTTACAATGACCCTTTACAGCAGGAGTAGGGAACCCTGGTCCTCAAGAGCCGGTATCCTGCACGTCTTTGCTCCAACACTTCTGAATCAGCGGTCGATTCACCTGTGCAGCAGCTCATCAGGCTCTGCAGAAGCCTGTTAATCACCTGCTGATTGAAATCAGGTGTGATGAAGCAGGGTTGAAACTAAAATATGCTGTATACCGGCCCTCGATGGACCAGGGTTCCCCACCCCTGCTTTACAGGGTGAAAAAATGTCCCTCAGACCCCCTTCGCCCTCTGTGGTCAGAATACCGCATTTGCAACTTCAGAGTGCGGGTCTGTTTAGAAAAGCATGTTTCCTGCATGTTTTAGATCATGAAACCAACTGATTTGTTTAACGTAGTGATGAATCGCTCCTGTAGATGATAAGAAAGGCTGGGGAGACGTTTCGATAACAAGACAAACACACAGCAAGGAGTTTTGTGTTTCGTTCTGCTAAACAAACACCAGGGGGCGCTAAAAGCAAGCCAAAACTGCCTAGTCTCCCTTCCAACCTTAATAATCACCAACACGTTCGCGGATCATGGATTTTAAACTGCCTGACTACACAGACTTGTGAAGCATAATTCAGTGTAAAGGCATTCACCATACCTTCCCCTCATAGACAGCTTCATATAAGCTCTCTGCGTAAAACTACAGTTGTGTTATTCAGGGCTAAACAATGAACATTTGGTCTCAGTGCAAAGTGTCTTGCTGCTACCTTTAATTTCATCAAGATTCATCTACTATAAACCTTTACGTCTATAGCAATCTCACATCACAGTTATTCACACTGGATTCACCATTTTTCAACATGGTCACAATTAAAAACTATGTTTTGATGAAACATTCCTATTTTGAAGGCCTACAAAAAAATCAACTATGAACTACGACCTACCAGTAACTGGAACAACAACAAACAGACATTTTGGTTTGGTTTTGGCTATCGTAGCTATTTTGGCTATCGTAGCTATCAGAACTACACTCGTAACGGTTTGGGGAGACTCCACTTTCTCTTTTGGATCAGTTTTGGGAACGTAACTCAAAGGATCCTTAGCAGACACCTTGTGTTCTACAGTCAAAGACAGAAGGGTTGTCCTTTGACCTCCCAACCATACAAAACATCACATCACATCCAAGTATGGGATGCAGTTTGGTTCAAACATCTGGTGCCTTACACATAGCCCGATTGTTCATTATTGGAACTGCGCTGCTCTGGGTGGCTGCATGTTGGAGTAGCTCTGTTGACTATATGTAAGTTTTGCCTTTTCTTGGGCATTTTTTCTTCTAGTTTCTCAAGAAAAAATATTTTTTTGGAGACTTTACTTTTCTGTTTCTGGTGCTGTGACGCTTGGAGGATTTTTACTGCTATTTCTTAGCTTTTTTCACTTTTTGAGCATTTGTTATAATGCGTAACCATGGCAACAAGCTGGTTTACAATCGGGAGCAGCTGATTAACATGGGAAAGGCTGAAATAATACCTCAACTGAAGCCACAAATCCCAATTTAGCTAAAACGCAAGAAGCGTGGGTGCAGAGCGGGAGCAAAATGGAGACAAAGAGGAAATTCAAACCATCTCTTCCATCGATCGTAATGGGCAATGTGAGATCACTGGCCAACAAGATGGAGGAACTCCAAGCCCTTTCAAGGACTCAGCCAGAGTTTCGGCAGTTTTGGAACCGCTGGAGGAGATAATGCAAAGAAGGATTCTCCAGAGAATCAAGAAAATGATGGACAACGCTGAGCATCCTCTTCACAAGACTGTCCGACAACGGAAGAGTGTCTTCAGTCAGAGGCTTCTTCAGTTTGGCTGCAACACTGACCACTACTGGAGATCCTTCCTGCCAACAGCCATTGTAATATACAACAACTCTTTGATGACTTGATTATTATTATTATTCTGAGCTACTACAGCAATCAGTTTCCCTCTGGGATTAATAAAGTATTTTTGAATTCGAATTGAATTTGAATTGTTCATCCAGTGCCATTTAAGCCCATGCAGTGCATTCTGTAGACCATCCAGATAACGGAAGCTCCATTACCGTTGGCTCGGCTCTGGCACATCCTGCCATTTCAGGTGATTTCTAGTTGGGGGCTTATTAGAGAGCATTTGGGAAAATGCTATATTCTACCAACTACGGTGAGCACACCGCTACAACAGTCAGTAAACTACAACTACAAGCCGACTCTAAGCCCCATGCAGAGTCTCACAGCAGTAATGTCACCAGTGTGCCTTGCTGTGTTGTGGTGTCACAATTATAAATTTAAACAAAACCAAATAAGCCTGACTACAGCATTTTCAAGAATGATCATGCATGTTGCCCTTCAGTTTAATGCAATACAACAGTCACAACAGTCACTATCTTGAAAATGGGCGGCCATATTGGTGTACAACTGGTACCATTTAGTTTTTCCAGCCAGAATACTTTCATTTTCATGTTGAGATCTTTGAGACATTCTGTTCAGTGAGGTAAAGTACATCCTGACCATCATTAGCATAGCTGTCAAGTCTCCCGTTTTGGCCGGGAAACTACCGTATTTTACTTTGCTTTCCTGCCGTCCTCCCGAATTATTATTTTCCCGTAAATCTCCCGTATTTTTAAAATTCCTCTGCCTCTTTAAAATTATCTGTAGCCTCGCGAGAACTGGTTGTCGCGAGATTTGTGCAGACAGCGGGAACATAACAGGAACAACAAACGAGAGCGATGATGGATGGAAGTGAAGAAGGCATTCCTGCCAAAAAATCAAAGAAATCGTGTAAATATCTAGAAAAATGGCACAGCGAATTTACTTTTCTAAAGAAGAGCAGGATGGGACAAAGTCACGCTTTTTGTAAGATTTGCAGTTGCGACTTTAGTGTCTCCCACGGGGGAAGGAATGATGTCAGTCAGCATGAGAAATCAACCAAGCACAAGCGCTGGCTAGAAGCACAGAAACATGCCCAGACGATGTCGGCATTTGTAACAAGGAATACCACAGAGGCTGACCAGGTCATAAATGCGGAGGTTAAAATGGCAATGCTGTGTGCCAAAAACAATGTTTCTTTCACCTTCTGTGACGACTTCAACAAGTGTGTAGCTGAGATGTTCCCGGACTCTGCTATTGCACGAAAATATTCTGCGGGGAAAACCAAATCTACGCAACTTATCAAAGGTAAGTTGATTTAAATTAAGTATAAATATTATGAAAGCGTATACATAGTCATAATCATGTCCAGCAGGCATATTGGTGGTAAATTGTTAGCTAACGTTACTGGGCATTCACTCAACAGGTGCCATAGCAGCAGAGCTAGATGAGGAGTTGGCCAGAACATGCCGATCGCAGCCCTTTTCATTGATGTGTGACGAGTCGAACAACAGAAAAACGGACAAAGAATTCGTCATCCTGACCAGACTCTATGATGAGGCCACTCTGCAGGTCGCTACAAAATTCATGGAGATGCCCATATGCAATGTAGGAAATGCAGAAAATCTGTATGAAAAGCTGCGTGAAGCATTAAGGTAGGGGAACTGCAATGTGTTGTTGACGTGTGTAGTAATTTGCATTTAATTATAATCTTACATTTAGTGTAAGGCATTTTATGGCTTTTTTTTTCATATTTCCAATAGAAAAAGAGGAATTCCATGGGAGAACCTGATAGCCTTTAACTCTGATAACGCCAGTGTCATGAAAGGCAGACACAACTCTGTTATCAGCAGACTGAAGACCAGCCAGCCCCATGTCCAGGACCTTGGCTGCATCTGCCACCTAGCACAACTGGCCACTGGCTGTGCCATCAAAGCAGCACAGGTACCAGTGGAAGACTTCCTGGTTGGGATATACACCCACTTTGATAAAAGGTAAATTATTATAAATAAATAGGCCTGCAGTTGATACTCTTCAGACATACACATACATTTCCATCCACTAACTAAATAATTGTCTATATTACAGTGCAAAAAGATGTGAAATCTATAAAGAATTTGTAGATTTTACCGATTCAGACCACCTGAAGCTCCTCAGGTACTGCAGCACCCGATGGCTGAGTCTATTAACCTGTGTCCAGAGAGTGTTGAACCAGTGGGACGCACTGCAGGTAAGGATGGTAACTCCAGCAGATACATACAGCTTACTATTCTGTGTTTTCCTTTTATTTAACTATTGCCACCTTGTTTCCCCATGCACTCTAGGCCTACTTCAACAGTCATGAGGAGGTGGAGAGGAGCGCCAAAATACATGATTTAGCCAGCCATCTGCGTGATCCAGTCATGAAGATCTACTTCATGTTCCTGACTGCTGCCCTTAAACCTTTATCTGATTTTAATATTGCCTTCCAGGTGGGTGTCAGTGTTATTGAATGTATTTGTAAATATTAAATGTGATTTTGCTAATTGTAGCATTCACTGATATTTTGTTGTGACCCATGATATTTTCTACAGTCAGAGGGAGTACAAATTCACAGACTGGAAGAGGAAATGTGCAGGCTGATTAGGAGGATCCTGGGCTACCTCATACCAGCCAGGGCCATCGTAGGTATACCTCTCAGGGAGGTGGAGTATGGACAAGGACTTCAGTTGGCTGATGAGGAGCTCTTTATTGGAGCAGACACAAAGGCCTTCATGAAAAGCGTAGAGCTTCCCATGTCCACTGAGAAGAAAATCTTTCAGTGAGTATATTACCCAGCTGTTTTATAATGGTCATCATCAGTATGAGAGAATATGCTGTACTGTGCCTAAAATGCTGCCACTATGCAGTTTTTTACTCTTACGCTGTTGTAGATCTGTGAGAAGGTTCTATGAAGCAGCGCTTCAGAAGATGTTCTCCTCCTTTCCCCTTGACCATACACTCCTGAGGGACTTGAAAGTGCTGGACCCTGCTGCTCGCCTCGACATTCCTCCAGGGGCAGGTAGATGTTAGGGCAGTTCTCCATTGATAGAATGATTGAATTGATTAAATATTGCATGGTTTAGATTTGCAACACTTTCTTTATCTTCCAGTGGAAAGGCTATGGGCCATGTTTCCTCAGTTGAGCTTGAGTGAAGATAGGCTGAGAGAGGAACTCATTGACTACCAGGTGACAGATAGCAAGCAACTCCCCCAAGAAGACAACATTGACAGATTCTGGGGCCTGCTAGGGAAGGATGTGAGGTTCAGTGAGCTGCCAAGATTAATGAAGGCTTTACTCTGCATTCCCCACAGCAATGCCAGTTCTGAAAGGGTGTTTAGTATGGTGAGAAAGATTGTTACAGAGAATAGGATGTCATTAGACAACAGCACTGTTTGTGCTTTACTGTCATGTAAAATCAACCACTCTGGCCCAGCCTACAAATACACTCCTTCCAAAAAAGTGTTAAAGAATGCTAAATCTGCAACACATTTGTATAATAAGTCATTAGTGAATGTCAGAGAGCCACATGAGTGAACATGATACATCTAAAGAAAATGTGTAATGAAAATAAAATGTAAATGTTTAACTTAAAGACAAGCAATGTGAAATGAACAGGAAGTAATGTGTTGACTTGTATATAAAATGAAAAATGTAAAATCAATAAATATGCTTCATTTCCCCTTTTGTGTTTTCATTTAGGCTGTATTATAACAGAATGTTCACAGCATTTCAATGTCAACAAAGGTAGGCCTCAGATTCTGATCACTGAATTGTAGTAAGTGGTTGAAAAGTGGTTATTATAGATTTTTTGTACACCTATCTTACAATGTAAGATATACTAGCGCTCGGCTGTGGCGGCGGGTTGGCTCGCTGCCGGTGTTGTAAATTTTCCCTTATTTTCAAATCCAAAACTTGACAGGTATGCATCATTAGTGCCTCATTTCACGCTTGCATCACCAAACTGATGGAATTTTGTCTTAATCTGCTCCGCTATCATGAGATTAGCTTCCACCACTTTTAGCTTAGCAGTATTGTCCAAATATGGCTAAAGCTAATGTTGCTGATTATCTTTATACTCGTTAGTCTTGACTGCATTCAGACTAGCCTTTAGCTTATCATTCTTGTAAGATAAAAGCTAATTCTCTAAACTGAAGCCATTCGGTTGTTTCGGATGATGTCTGCTGATGTCACTCCCTGCTACTAACCCTAACCCACCAATCAGCATGAGGTAACCAAAAGTACTGCTCAAATATTCTACTGGGCCATTCCGAGGATGTACTCCTGTTCAGGTACTCTGAAAGTTCCTTAAAACGGCCCGTTCATCCGACCCGGTGAAGTGGAGACACGCCCATCCATCTCCAAAGCGTTTGACACCACGCTGAATCCTTCATCCATCCCCGCACACATTCTCACGCTGATGGTGAGGAGCTACAATGCAGCCACAGCTGCTCTGGGGTACACTGACAGGAGCGAGGCTGCCACCCAATCCTTGCCACCAGTCTCTCCGACCACCACCAGCAGGCAAGGAGGGTGAAGTGTCTTGCCCAAGGACCCAACAGACATGGATGGCCATTGGGTTTTGAACCGACAACCCACTGATTACAGGGGGAACTCAAAACCCCTGAGCGCCAAATCTAAATTTTATGTGCTAGCTTACACACCGCACCCCTTTATGTTTTCATTAGCAACAAGTTTAATCCTGTGGTGTCTGTAAGGAGTCCGTAACTTCTTGCGTTAGGATCATTAGATGTAAGGACGCCTGCTAGTTTCAGCCAACTTAACTACGAATCGTTATTTTCATCCATTAACACTCTGATGCATGAATTATGAGATCTTCAACCATGATTTTTTAAACAATTTTTTTCATTCATCTTTAGGTGTGAATGAAACAAATTTCAACAAATAATTTTTGTAACATTTTGGTCATTTACAAATAATTTATTACACGTCCATCTCAGTGGACAACGTGCATTCTGAACATGAAATATGGTGGCTTGACTTACTGAAATCCAAATGGAGGGGCTCACGTGCAATAAAGTCTTCAACCGCTGTGCTTAATAGTAAAAATAAATAACATTTTTGAGTACCTGTCCACTGTAGTGACCATTATGCATCAAAGGGTTAAAATGCTGTAATGCTTTTTGCCAAAAGCACAAGGGGTGTCTGCAAAAGTGATCCGCGTGGAACCTGGGTCCAATAGTGTGTAAACTCCAGCAGCTTCTATTATCCCTAGTAGGGCGTGCGCTGTATTAACAAATTAATAATGCAAAGCTTTAGGGAAAACAGTAACCTCTAAAACTGAAGGCGACGATCGTGCTTGTGCCAAAGCAAATGAACAGTGACAGAATTGCACCGGGGACTGCAGCATCTGCAGCGTGGTGTCGAGGTTAACTTGTCCTGTGATTACAAAACACATTTCTAGGGGAGCAGGTGTTACACTGTCACCATTCAGATCGTGTATGTGCACACACACACACACACACACACACACACGCGCACACACACACACACACACACACACACACACACACACACACACACACACACACAAAGAGAACAGAAAGAAAGGAACGTCTGCCTCCCCATCCATACACTCTGGACCTTACGGCCGTGAGACCCGTGTGAAAACATGAATGAGCGGCCTGCAAATCGATAAGGACAAGAGGTCTAGTGTCTAGCAAATCCAGTGCAGACTGACATGTTCTCTATGTAATCTCCTGCATTGTGCTACGAGGAAAAAGATTATCCCTCCTCTGACGGGCTCGTAAAAGGTTGCTTTGCTGTAGTTCGTGTCTGTGTGAAGGGAGGGAGCATACGCCTCACTGTAAACGACGCCGGCTCCCCCTCCTCCTCTATCAGAGGCTGGATTACGTCCAACATTATCCTCCCCCCTTTGCGCGTACTCTGCTCTCCAATAAAGGGCTTTCTCTCTCCTCCTCTCTTTTCAAAAATCATGGGATTTCTGACAGTGGATTTTGGGAAAAGTTCTTTGCCAGTTTTGACGCCTGCTAAGTACCCCGGCAGGATTAGAGGAGGACTCTTGATCTGTAAACTCAAGCATCATACTGTGGTCAGGGTTATAAACCGTGAGGGGAAGGGGAGAAATGTGGTGGTACAGAGCGCATAATGATCAGGCTTGTTATATACATCAAGTGCTGAAAGCAGAGTGAGAAAGAGCTTGTGTGTTTGTTTGGAATCAATAGAAAAAGCTATCACGTTGAATTTTCTGTCCCTCGGTTTTACGTCGGTACCCAGCAGATTGGAGGAGATGGCCGGCTCGACTGTAGCTGCGTTATTACAGCGCCTGGATGAGATGACTGCTCGCATTAACTGTAAATTGAAACTTAACACTGCAGCACAATTTACAAAGGCACAATAAAAGACGGCAACTATATCGCGACACTCTTGTAAAAACGCTGTACACATGTTGTAAATCGTAATGAAATACAGAAACGACTTTCATCTGATCTACAAATAAACAGGAGGAAAAAGCCGCGTGATATCCGACGCAGGATTTATTGCTTCATGTATGTGTGATTACTTGGAGTCCAGACGAAGCAGGCAGACAGTCACCTTCACAGCCTGCCGTCGCTCCGTTTCTGCGGTAAGACGGTGCTGGGTGGCCGGCACGTGCAGCTGTAAAACCAGAGTAGTGTGGACTGTCTTCCTGCAGCCTGTCTGACAGAGGGTCTGACTCCGGGCAGGTGTGAGGCGAGGAAGACTCGGGTTTGACTCAGTTAATAAAGCCTCAACCAGTTCCTCAGTCTGCCCTTGGAGATCGCTTACATCAAAGCACCAATCAAAAACTGGTGCAGATATAATTTGTCATCAGGGATTTCCTGCAGGAGAATTATAGAGAAGATACACGCCGATCAATACTATGGATTTTCACTGCAGTGGCTGATTGTCCAATTGCCGTGAAACATGTACCGAGATAAAAGGGCACGCCTGCCATTTTGTAACAGACTGCCGAGTCAGCACACAGCTTGTCAGATACTTATAGGCGGATGTGATAGAAAATTATCATGCTGCAGTGTCCGAGTACTATTTAACGCATTTTTCTTCCACGATTCATCACAGATTCACTCTCTATTTTTGCTTTTGAGGGAGCATCGCTCTGCGTCATTGTCAAGAGGGGCAGTGGCCACACACGGGTGGCGTTTAAAAGGAGCTGACACGTACACATGCCAGTGCAAAGCTACCGTTCTGCAAGGAGGTGTCACCTAGAATTAAGAAAGAAGTCGAAGGAATGTGTTAAACCCCTGATGCTCCCTTTAACGCTGACCCCTTAAGTATTTTATTACGATGCCAAAAACACCCAACTCCTTTTATTTCCCCCTAAATAAAGTACTACACAGTTCCTTTGTGTAGTACTTTAAAGGAATAAAATACTTTAATCTGTGAGGATTTGTTGCGTTCAGTGTTGCAGATATTCAGACACACAAAACACAAAAACCTTTGCAGTTTTCTGCCAAAATGGCTCTAAACATTCTCAGTGTCCTTGTGTTGTACAGGGCCTTTGTCTCACGTCAAAAGAATACCAAAATAATATTCTGGACGTTGTTTCAAAACATTGTCATTTTAATTTTCTTGGCTCAGAAAATGTGACTTTGGGAGGGGTTAGAGACCTATGAAACTAAACGTTGACTGACTGGAGAAGTAAACAGTAGAAAGCAGTGGCGGCGCCGGGGGGCGCTAGGGGGCGCTATAGCTACCCCTGGATTAGTCATTGCACCCCCAAGTAAATATTAGATGTTTTTTTTTACAATTTAATTTTAATTTAACGTGTGGATGTGATAATATTTAACATACAAAACAAAAATAATCAGTAAATTATCATATAGATAGTAAAAACTTAAACCAAAACAGGAAATGGATGTTAACCTTTGACCTCATTTTCCACCTGCGAACGAGTGAAAGGTAGAGCTAGTGGTAAGATGGATTGGTTTTTGTTGCACAAATTTCCACGGGTTCAGTCAGAAACGAATCTTTAGTTCTTTTGGAAGAGATCTCAGACCCACAGAAACCTACGGATCTGGATGAAGAGAGTCAACCCTCAACCGCCGCAGCAGTCGAGGGTTTTGCCGCTGGAAATGCTAATGCTAACGTTAGCTAACCTTGCAACACTATAGATGGTTTTCTGTGTGGCTGTATGTGTTTATGATTTCATGGAAAAGTCAGCGATTGTTCATGTTTATGATGTATATTAATGATTGTTTCAGGTGTTGTTGAGGTGTTGGGCACGCATGTGTATCTGCTAGTGTTGAAGGTGTTTTAGAGAACAATAGGTACGCATGACCACTTCCTTCATAGCACCCTCAATAAAAAGACTAGCTCCTTCAGAGCACCTGCAGAAAAACATTTCTGGAGCCGCCACTGGTAGAAAGAATAAAAAAATGTGACTTTCCAGCTGTAGAACTGAAATCCTCCAACAGAGAGCCAATGACAAACAACAGGTTGTTTTACGCATAACACACAGTATTAATCCTGTTAAAGGAATGTATGAATAGGTCCATAAAATATCAAACTTTTGGTGTGAAAGTGTTAACTCATTCACTGCCAGCGTTTCTCATCGTTTTTACTGTTTTTTTAAGAGTCACAGAACGTTTGTGCGCTAGGATAGACGCCAAAACAACCAAAACAACAAAAACAAGGCGGAGACTCACCTCTTACATCAGG